CCCCAAAACCCCAAAACCCCAAAACCCCAAAACCCCAACAAAATGCTTGCATATTGAATTATTATCTCGCTCTCCAAGAGTCTAAATGATTACGATTGATTATAGGTTTCCTGGCAACTTTCCCCTTCATTATCTCTCCTCCATTGCCAACAAGCAATGCTCTGTTGAAATCATTGAACTTCTTGGCTACTTCTTCTGGTCCAAAACCGCCCTTATAGTCCTCTTTTTCATACCTGAGAGAATCTCTTTTGACAATCCTTCCCAAGCTTGAAGAACCGTGATTTCCTAGCTTAAGTCCAGTATCCACCTTGGCCGGCAACGGGTTGAACCTACTCAACGGCGGCGGGTTCTTCGGCAAGAAAGATTTCACTGAAGCGTGCGACCGGGAGGTTTTCAGGCTAGGAATTACTAAAGATTTCTGCACGAAGGGGAGATTTTTAGGAGGAATTGTGACTTTGTCAGTCAGGAAAGATCTTGAGAGTGAAGAGGTCTGGTGAAGGGATTGGGAGAGAGTGTGGGGGAGGTTGGGCATGGAGATTGGAGGCAGGATTTGGTGGCTTTTGGAGACGGAGAGGGGTTCGGGAGGAGGGTGTAGGGCGGAGTCTTCGAGGGGAAGGGGGTTTAGAGAAGAGTTTAGGTCGAGGATTGAGTCTTGTGAGGGGTCTTTGAAGCTAGGGAGGGTGAAATCGAGAGTTTTGTTGTTAAGAGTCAAGCTTTGGGTGCTATCGTTGAGGTATTCTTGACGAGTCATCGAGTGGTTCATACTATACCTTGCTGGCTTTCCAAGCTTGCTCTTAGTACCTTCTTTTATAGAAACTCCATCTGAGGCAATCATGCTTTCAAAATTAGATCCTCCAGGTTCAATTCTAAAAGTATTCCATGGTTATACTTACGCATTTTCCATTCCTTTGAATCCAGGTCTATTCAATAACAATCAGTAAGGGTTCAACAAAAAGAGAAAGGAAAGTTCTAGCTTACCTGTCAAGAGGGTTTTGGTAATTCTTGGAACCTTTGGACGAAGATTTCAGTTTAAGCTTTCCATTCCCTTGCTTGTTAGAAAAATGTTTTAAAAGGAGTTCATCAGTTGTGTCTAATCCAAGCTTATTTTGGAATTTTTAGTTTTTTGAGTGACTTTTTGGCAATTTTTGGGACATGGAAATCGCCTGGAAGTTGTTCAGAGTTAGGCTTTCTTACGAATACAAGGCTTCCTTGGTAGTCATAGGTATAGTTTTTAGGTAATTTATCAAAATTTGCTTTATTCTTCCTGGCTATTTCTTCATTTCTTCTTTGAATTTCCATTCTTTCTTTCATGTCTTTTTCTTTTCTCATTGATTCTCTGAGCTTTGTAGCTCTCATTCTTTGAATAGAAACTTCCTCCTCTTCTTCTGGTGGAAGATCAGTGAGGGGTATCTGCTCAGTGATTCTCTCTGTCAAAGCCTGACTAGTATAAATCTGTTCTGCTACTTGACGTCCAAGGAAGGAGGTGGTCGAACGAGCACTCTCTGTTTTCTTTGTAGGTGCTTTTGAAATAAACATTATTCCTCGTCTTTTAACACCCCTTGTTTGGCTATTTAAAGATTAGAAGAGTTGTTACAATTATAAATGCTTAATACATTCAAAGTACATTTAGTAAAGAGACTAGATCGAAAATGACACTAAAACACATATCGAATCTATCTACAGACTGTTTGTAAGATACCTTAAGATAAATAGATGAAAAAGATTATATCGAAAACTTCATAAGATTTCTTCAAATCTTTTTAACTAATAACGGCCTTCTATTTTAATATAACTAATCAGAACCTTATGAATTAAGTTTGTGAGGCTATTCCCGATGTATAAGCAAAGTTATTAATTTTATAGTTCCGTACTTTTCAAATGCAGGATCAGGCTTCAGCTTAACCTGCCCAGAAAGGAAAGAGTCTGCTTTAGCAGCTTTTGGCTCTTCTTCTGAAGTCCAGTCCTGACAACCATCAAAATACTTTAACAATTTCTTCTTTTCTTCAATCTTCACCTGCGACTCTTCCTCCTCTCCCCCTTTAGTCTCTACAAACGGCTGAGAATATGCAAGAGTCATTTTATTTCTCTCCCACAGCCTTCACCTCCGCCTTCCTCTCATCTGCCCCTAAACTCCCACTCCTTCTCCTAAACATCTCCTCACTTTCCTCCTTCACATCAAATCTCCCCGTAATCTCTGCTGGATCTCTGCTCTTCACCATCGAATCTATCATCACTCTGAGATTGTTCATCATGAGGTCAGTTGAGTATTGCTTATGGCGTGACTCGATCAACTTGATCTCTGAACGGGCTGAAGCCCTGCTCAAGATCTTGTTGACGGAGTGGGTAGCAATGGAGAGGGTTAATAGTGATTCAATGATTTTGGAGGGATGAAAGAGGGGGTTTTGATGGGTGGAGGGTTCTTCAGGTGTGTGATCTGACATTTTATTTCGTTCGGGTTTATAATAATACTTTTGAAGGGGTTTTGGGGTTTTGGGGTTTTGGGGTTTTGGGG